ACCCCCCTAAAAATTCGAACGCCTATTTATTTGCCGGGTTTCGGTATTTTATTTACCTCCAAATTTTCGACTGCACTAAAAATTGCCGACTCATTCTTATTCAGAAATTTCGACCAGTTTTAGTTTTCCCCCAAACGAAAAAAAAACCGATGTGAGCGTTCAAACGGGACCTTCCCCGAAGGCATGAATCCGGGTTTCTGATTGACTGAGAGATTTTTATTTTATTAGTAACGAAAATATAATCTAAATAAACGAAGTTTCAAATAAAAACGAACACAAAAATCTCGGCATGCTGAGTTTCTTAATTGTTGATTATTACTGTACTCAGTAGTGATTATAATAATGTACACAAAATAAATTTGTTGAATGGTTATGAAATACAAATAAAAGTCAACTTAGTTTCATCGTAAGCGAATGATTCCGGTCTCGTATAAACGTTTGATGCTGTAGGATATCCGCCATGTGTTCTTAGGTCAAATAGCAGTGTTCGAAATACTCGGGTGCACACTGCACTATGCACATAGGTTATTAGCTAGTGCAAGTAAACTCAAAATCCAATGTGCACGCTGTGCATGTAGAAATTAACACAACATTTTCTCATTATATTCACTAAGCCTAAATTAGTTTCAACCAATATTGTAAAAAAACTCAAAAGCACAAGTGAAAAAAATCAAATTCGTCCGTGATCGCATCGTCCGTGATCGCATCGATCGAGAACCCGGAAGTAAATTGGTAGCGTACTCGCGTACATTGTGAGAGTACTTTGGGTCTCGCGTGACCTCAGAACAGCATACAAATTTGCGCATGCTCGGTAGTCGTGTGTCATTCGGTTGGTATACAATCATGTCAAAACAACGAAGCCTTTTCGAGTGTGGACTATTGACATCGTTGAAAAAATCTGAGACGGCTGAATGCCCAGTATCTCAAGCAACAAAAAATGATCCCGATAATGGAAACATTTCTGAACAGGATGTAGTACTTGGACACGTTTCTACCACTGAAGGAAATGTTGAATCTCAGCAGAGTACCGAGTGCGGCATCATGTGTCAACACTGGGGTGATTGAGTCGCCACCCACTAAGAAAAAAAAAGTTTATCGTTTTCAACAGACGTGGCTTCAAGAGAAAAAATGGCTAATATTCGATGAAAAAAATAACGTAATGTTTTGTGATGTTTGTCAGAAGTTTGACCACAGTGGAAAGGTAAACAAATTTCGCACACAAGGGTGTGTAATTCCTTTCGTTTACATGTTTTAAATGGTCATGAAAATACAAGTAACCATGTCCAGGCTGTATTATCAAAGCAAGTCAAGGAATGTAATCCAAAAGACAGACCAATAGAACGACTTTTGATTAGAATGGAAAAAAGTGAACTGGAACAAATGAGAGTTTTATTTCGTGTGGCTTTCTTTCTGGCTAAATCCGGACGTCCATTCACAGATTTTCCTGGACAGATAAAATTATTGGCTGTTAATAATGTACCTGTTAGTGAAACCTATGCAAATGACAAGCAGGCACGAATATTCACAGATTACATATATGAAAGTAAACGTGTTGAGATGATCAAAGAAATGAGTGAATCAGAGTTTTTTGCTATACTGTCAGATGGAAGTACAGACACTAGTATTACTGATGAGGAAATTGTATATGTTAAATACATTAAAAATGGTAGGCCAACATACAGATTTGTAACATTTAAACCACTTGTTAAAGCTGATGCTCCGTCAATCACTGCCGCACTCCAGAGTACAATGGAGGAAAATCTTGAAAGAAAAACTTGGAAAAATGATCTTGTAGCAGCAAGTTTTGATGGTGCCAATGTGATGATGGGTTCGAAATCAGGGGTCGCCACGAGATTGAAAGAAGATGTACCACACTTAGTTGTTGTTCATTGTTTTGCACATAGACTTGAACTTGCTGTCAAAGATGTTCTAAAGCAAATGCCATATCTCACTGTAGTCCATGAATTTCTTCAGAAGGTGTACCTTTTCTATAAGTACTCCCCCCTGAATTGGGCTGCTTTTAAGAATGCTGGGGAAGCTTTGTGCATTTCTGTTGTAAGGCCAGTGAATGTTAGTGGTACAAGATGGGTGCCTCATCATGAAAGAGGAGTTCAGGCTCTACTCAGGAACTACAAAGTTCATATTGCACATATAGAAGATGTCAGAATACATGGTGGAAAAGAAAGCAAAGACAAAGCAGTGTATTTCCTGAAAATGCTGAAAAGTGTTAAGTTTGTGATGTTCTGTAAATTCCTGCAAATTTACTTTAGAATGATAAGTGTACTCAGTAAATGCCTCCAAGACAATGAGGTTACTGTAGAAAGAGTCAGAAATATGGCTGAGTCTGTAAAGAAACTGATGGTACAGTATAAAGATGAAGACAAACTGAAAGGATGCATGATGGAAGGCATATCTACTAATGCTGATGGGAAACTTGTATATGAAGGCATCTTACTACAAGAGGGACCAGGAAGACCTCAAAGAAATGTAGATAATCACACCCAGTCAAAACAGCAAGAAGCTATAAAAGAATCAAAGAAAGCAATAGAATTAACTGTACAGTGTATTGATAACAGATTTCAAGATTTAGTAGAAAATGAAATCTTGAAATCCACAGTGATATTTGATCCTGCTATGTGGCCTACTGAGACTGAGGCTTTAGAGGTGTATGGAGATGATGAAGTCAAATGTTTGTACAGTCACTTCAAACAGATACTAGAATACAGAGGATGCAATGAAATTGACACATTAATTGAATGGACAGCACTGAAGAAAATAGTTCGAAAAATAGAACAGACAGAAGGCCAATCCCTGAAATATCTTGATATCTGGCAAAGAGTGATGTTGGTGTTTGGAGACAATTATAAGTGTATTCTCATGCTTGTCAAGATAGTTCTTCTCATACCATGTAGTACAGCAGTATGTGAACGCGGATTTTCACTAATGTCAGTAATTAAAAAGTGACTGGCGAAGCAGGCTTCAACCTGAAACCTTAACAGCATTAATGGCAATCAATTTATGTGATGATGAACTTGACACATTTGTTCCTGACAATGCAATTGACTTGTGGTTTCAAGATAGCAAAACAAGCAGAAGACCCCATACAAGACGATATGGATCTCGGGTACCAGAAAATGAGGCTGCATGGTCTGATGACGACAATCTTATAAAGAAACTTTAAACTTTATTAAAACTTTAAAAGTGGTGCATTTCACAACAAGTTGGTGCAGGTAAATTTCAAATTCAACATGCACACTGTGCATGCAGGTAAAAAATTCTATTTCAATCCCTGTTTGCCTAGATGCACTTTTAATAGGTTGTTAATTCTTGTTGTACAAGTTGTCTTTTAGGTTTGGCTCATTTAAAGTTGGTACAAAAAGGAGTTATAAGGGAATACATACGCACGTTGATTTGTTTTTCAATTTGTCAACATTTGACTGACTGGTAGA